GTTGGAACATGAATTACTAATCATATGACTATGTATCCCTACAGATTTTAAAGTGCGTACAAGCTGTAATGCAAACACCTACGCTTGCATTTAATATATTGATATGCATGAGTCGAGTGTACGGCGGAGTATATAGTAATGTAACGGAAGCTCTACTATGAAACATAATGAAGCAGTTTATGGTCGAAATTTTATAAATAATCAACATTAAACGAATTAATAATAAAATCAGACTGATATATTATGAAGTATGTTCATTATAAAGCAATTAAGTTCAAAGATTAAACAGTATAATCCGACATGATTTGTAATTAAACATCCAAGATTGCTTTCAGCAATGGGCCATTTTAGTTAATTATTTATACATTTTTTATATTGTTTTATTACCACTCTTGAATATTATAAATAAAATATGCTCATTTATTTATTCATTCATTAATTTCACGTTTTATTCGGGTTCGTAATTTCGTATAAATTCAAAGTAGACAAACTGCTCATAAACTACACTAAACCTATTGTTATGGTGCAATCGAGAGATATTAATGCCTCTCAATGCCTGTGTTTGAGTATTATAATCCGCCTGTATGTTGCATGAATTCTGTAAAGATCCATACTCACGTGGTACTAACCAAGCGGGCGAGCTCCAGCATAGCGCATGACTCATTGTTTCAGTGCGCGGCCCGATACGCCTCACCTCGAACTCGTAAGCTCATATTGTGTTACACTTATTACTTTTGGGGCACGTGGCAAGCTCTAGAATGAGATTTGTCATATGTACGAAATGCTCCATTAGGAACTTCAAAAGTTATTGTTTCGGTTGACGAAGATAAATTATAGTTTGTTGTCAGTAGATATTTAAATGGATGATTTTAAATATAGCTATTTTGTTGGATTCTCATAAAAAGTAAATAGATAATATAAGATTTGGATTATTTATAGTTCCATTTATGAATTTAACCAACTTTAAAACAACTTTGATAACATTAAAATGAAACAAACTAGATAAAAATTAGTCCATTTATTAAGATTTTATGGTGCCACCCTCTTTGTCTGTATTTAAATAAAAACGTTATTTTAATTGGAAAATAAAAAACACGTAAAATCCCTATAGACGAAACAATCGTTATAGTTGGATTACTATTTCAAGTTATTTACAAAAAGTTCTTTTGCCGCGAATAACATACATACCTACTGAATATTAAGTACATAATGTAAACACTGTCTGTGATTCACTAATTTTTTTCCTATGAGTAAATAAGGTAACATAAACGTACCTGAGGTACTGCTACGCGTAACATTTCGTGCTAAATAGTTCATATGCGTAATGGTGAGTTTTATGCCTCTAGTGCTGAAATCGACAAAAATTACTAAATCTAGGAACTATAACACGCAAAAATAACAGAGATTTGGCAAACAACCAATAACTGTTTAAAATCTTTCAAAAGATTTTTATCCCCATCATATTCAATTAAATTACCTAAATGAAAAACAATTAAAAATTTAAAAAGAATTCGCTAAACATTTCTGCCTTAGATTTTTTTAAGTTAGGGCTGCATTTATTTTGGCATCCCGTTCTAGCTATGACACGAGTGGTGGTCGCCTGCCTTATAACGTATCTAAATTAAATTCCGTAATTTTACCTGCATATCCATCACCCTACTTTTGTCATATATGAGGCAAAGTAATAATCAACACAATATGGAACTGATTCGATCTTTGATAACTATATCAAAGACTTAGATTACGACATTTAAGTTGTACTTATTTTTTATAGTATACCGAAATTTATAATTTGTAAACTGTATTTAAAAGTTCAATGATGAGTACATAATATTGCTAATATTGCAATACACAAATTAATTAAAAATTAATGCTATAAACTAAACTAATAAAACTTCTGTCCCCGCGCGTACAATTCCAGTACGAACACGGACAAATGATTACGTTCAATGACTTTATCTCATTACACGTGTACAGAAAACTATTTTTATGTAATACCTGCTCAGTTCACATGTTAGTTCATTTAATTAGCTACCTGAGAAAATACTCACAGACAAAATATTACGTAGCTTACGTAACTAAGTTTTATAATTTGTTTTCTTTTTTGTTAGGTTATTGTCATCGACTATTTTACAACTACGCTTTCGAAAACAATATAAATCTAATTATTACATATTACAGTAATTAATAATGAATCCCAATTTGTCATTCCTTTTAAATATATTAAGAATTTAAAGGAAAAAAAAAGTAAAAACAGAGATAAAGACTTTTCTTAACTCTAAAAATAATTTAAGACGATTGTCACTTAAAGATAATTTTATCTGTCTTGTACACTTAAATTAAAGTTAATAATTTCCTGAATTCAGACTATGGCAATGGCAAAAGTATCCAAGTAATAGTTTGTTTGTGTCCTACTCGTGTCTCTCAAAACAGGCGCTTAATAAAAGAAAATATGACATTATTAATTGCATTTTAGAAGGTCTTTTCTCTGTCACCTCTTTTGACGAGATCTGAGGAAAATTTATTTTTTCATCTAAACGTTTGATGTATAGGGAAATCGGAATTAGATGAAAATAGTTTTTCTTTATATCTATTTAGGTTACATTATGCTAACAGACAGACAGATAATGTACAAACAGATGGATATACAGACACACAGATTGATGATAATACTAGTAATAACCTCACCTATTATAATAAGTCGCCTAAAAAGGCGACCAAAAGGTCCCAGTCAAATTATTACTGAGTTAATAGCATTTAAAGTTAATAGTAAAATTATTATTACCTTTAGACATGGTTCACAGTAACTCAAGATACGGATCCTGAGTTAAGTCAAGCAACCACAACGCACGTGTAATGGCATAGTAGATACATTTAATATCTTATCTTAGAGTGCAACAAAGTCGTCCCTAGGAACTTGTTCTATAGGTATTGCAAATCTTTATAGACTGTGGTAGCTATTTACCATTAAGCAGATTTTTTTTTATAAAAAATAGAATAATAATTAAATAATAGTAAGGATAATTGGCATATGGTCTCAGCCTAGAATAGATCACCCCTTTCCCGTGGGTGTCGTAAGAGGCAACTAACGAAGGCGAGGAATGGGCAGCAACGTTCCTCTCAAAACATCTCCAAAGCCTAACTGCGATTGCCAATCCATTGCCAAGCGTGGCAACTATTGGCAAAACCCCCCTAAGAAGAGACTTATATTTAGCAGTTGACAATTAATGGCTGATATGATGGTAATGATAATGAATGATAATAGATTTTTTTGTATAATAATAATAATAAAATTTCTATTTAAGTTTTCGTCTCTAAAATTACCTATATATATATGTTAAGAGTTTATAGACTGTCATTTCACATGTTTTCAAACAAACGTCGATTCCTTTTGCATTAAACATTTCTAAACTTACAGCGTAAATAACATCAGGCATCGGTCAATGTGTTCTTGTTATTTTCAATTAAATCGATTCCGAATACTCGGATATTCAAAATGATATTAGGCTCGACAACAATCGGTTCTTATTTCTCGGTAATTTATTTTAATATTGATAATCTGTAACAATTTCTATTATCAAAGTAGTAGTAGCCTTTTAACATTCTCAGAAGTAATACTGAGTATTATGAATGAAATTGTCGAGTGGACGTAATATTTATATATTAAATCCATAGAAGAAAAGATTACTGAGATATAAATTACAGATAACAGGAAAACATTTCACCGTTAGATTGTAATTATTAGATTTACAGATACTTCAAATCAAAAACATTCAAAAATATGATGAAAATACGTATTCATTTACAATAAAAACTGCCAAAATATCAATCTATTACCCGAATCATACTACAGTAGCTAGAATATAGATGTCAATTTGATAGAATGCTTTTATTACACCTTATATAATAAGAGTAAATATCATGGGGTACATTGATATTAAAATGTATCGGCGGATATCGGAGACATATATTGAGGGAAGCGCAGGTAAGGTTTTTGACCGCGTACTTGACATACCGTGGAGATTTCGAACCGACGTTCAACAAATTAAGATGAGGGAATTATGTTGTCAACCTGGAATTCGGCATCCACGACGGTGGACGACCCGTGGACGGGCGTAGTGCGTAGGGTTGACGGAGGTTCAATCAAGGTATCCTTCTTGTTGACTAGCACATTTAATCACTTGTTTGTAAACAACGTCGTGTACATCAAAGGTAACCTTTCCACCCACTATAGGCTAATGCGATACTTGATGGCTAGGCAAACAGTTTATCAACTTTGCTCTACTATCAGAGATTGTATCGACTATAAGAAAAGCGAGTTACCTGTGATAGACGTAAACGGAGCTTTCAATTTATACAAAAATACATTCACACAATGTACATAATATATGCCTTTCCTAAGAGGTATCCTAACCCCCCTCTCTAAAGGTATTATATATATCTAGAGGTATCTAACCTCCATTAGAAAATCTTAAATCCGCCAATGATTCTTAGCAAAAAAGAACTTAGATAACATTAGATTCAGATATCAGTTACGTAATACTTTTTTATTATTTTTAAAGTATTTATACATTTAAAATAATAGAATATTTTTTTCTATACTGTGTGATAACCCTATTAAAATTTCAGGCCACACTATATATTTCAGTGAACACGACTCAGGTAAGGGTCATAACACACTTGGCAAATATAACAACATATTATTTAAATGATTCACGAGCAATAAAACATCTCTTCTGATATTAAGTACATATACACAAAAGTTTATTTTTATTGTTAGATTATGTATAGAAAAATTACTTTTCCAATATATATATAATTTATTATTCATATTATAAAAGTATATACATTATATTTTCCAAACATGCTTTCATATAATATCTGTCTCTTTCATACTTATTTTTGGCGACGCTTTTTACTCTTTTAGGTTTATTATCCCTATTTATCAGGAAATAAGTAAACATAATATATATATATATAATAATCTTTTTTCGCGGGTAGCTGTGAAACACTAACAAGTCACGATTTTTGCTCTTATTTTTTACTAATTTTTTATTTATAAATGTTACATAATTTAATTATCTTTTATGTTCACAATTTAAGTACAGTAGTTATCTACCTGCTATAGTGTTATCTCCTTTCCTATTTCACTATTTAATTAGTTAAATTCTTATTCTATTATGGAGTCTGTACAGCAGTCATTGGAACAGTTGATGGCGCACTTTGACACAAGGATGGCGGCTTTTCAGAGCAACCTAGATAAGGCCAGCACTGCTCCAGTCACTTTGAGCACACTGTCTTCGGATTTTGCACAATTCAAGACTCTTATGACGGAATCATTAATAAGCCTTCAACAGCAGGTGCATGTTCTTGCACAGCAACAGGATCGCCTAGAGATGCACAATCGTCGCAAAATTTTATTGCTACATGGAGTTCGTGTCGATGATGAGGGTGACTTGACGACGGTGGTCTCCGGCATTCTCACTGAGAGGCTTAAGGTGCCCGTTTCACCAGATAACATAAGCCGTACTCATCGAATGGGCGGCTTATCTCAAGGGAAACTCCGGCCTATTCTGGTCAAATTTCGTCGTACAGAGGTGAGAAATAGTGTCTGGTCTGCGAAGACTGCACTTAAAAACAGTGGCATTACACTGTCTGAATTTCTGACTAAAACGAGGCACGACATCTTTATGAAAGCACGGAAACACTTTGGTGTCACGAAATGCTGGACACGAAATGGCGTCGTGGTGATCATTGGTCCTGATGGTAAGAGGCATCGAGTCAGTTCCATTGCCGAAGTTAGTCAGCTTATCAACGTTTTGCCGATTTCTGCTGGGGGCGTTGTTTCCATATCCACAAACACCTCGGTCGCCTTGAAGACGTCGGATTCGGCTGGTGCAGGTTCTTCGCGTTCTAAACGTGTTGTGAAGAAGTGAGCTGTTTTGTATGAACTAGTGTGATGGTTTTGGTGGCAATATTAATTTTTGTGGGTATGTAACATTCGCTTTTTTTCTTCAAATTTGTAAAGGTTAATGCTTTATTAATTATTGTTTTTTTAGAATAGGTATGCAAATAAAATAACTACATTTGCCATTATATTATGATATTTTTATTTTATAACAACGACACTAACTTAGTTATAACAAATTAGACTGGCATTTTTATTAATGTTCCTTAACATGGATAGGTGATACCCACATATAATTCTTAATGTAAATATGTGTGTGTGTTTGTTTATGTGTGTATATGTAGGTATAGATATTTTTACTGATATGTTTTACAGCTCTGGATGTTAGGCCTTTTAAGCTCAATTAGATTTGTAAGTTTTAATGTTGCCACCAAAAACGAAACCAAATGTTTTATGCTTTACGATTGTTGTTGTTATTATTATTGTTTTTTTTAGTGCAGACTCTCTTTGTTCAATTCAAATGATATTATTTTTGTATTTTTCAATTTTACAATTAGTCCACTACTGGCAGGTAGATGCATTGAAGTTTTATCTGTTTGTATAAAGATATTTTTGTTTTGGATTTATATATATATATATATTTTAGTATTATTTTGTACACAAACATACATGGTTTTAGATTCCGATTCTGATGAATTATTTCATTCAGTTTCTTCTTCCTCTAGCGATGAAAGTTTCCGTAGTTTGCCTATTCCTTTAGAAGAAATATTAAAGACTACATTCTCTTCTTCCACTAAAAACTTTAATACCGTCCACATAAACGCCCAAAGTATTCCTGCACATTATACAGACTTGATATCGTCTTTCAATGTAAATACCCTCCATGCTATATTTATTTCGGAGACATGGCTAAAGCCCTGTCTTCCTTCTACCTCCTACTCCTTACCAGGTTTCAACTTAATTCGCTGCGATCGCACCGGTAGGGTTGGTGGTGGTGTTGCTATATATCTTCGTTCTGATATCCCCTATGCTATTATCAACTCTTCTCTAAGTACTAATTCTTCCTGTATTTCTGAATACCTTTTCCTCGAAGTAACCCTCGCCCATTCCAAGGTTCTGCTAGGAGTTTTCTATAGTCCATCCTCCTCTACTGATTATTTTTCCTCCCTTGAAAACCTGTTAGAGAACCTTATCCCTTCCTATAGTCACACTATCATTATGGGAGACTTTAATACATGCCTTCACAAAAATGACCTGCGTGCGAATCGTCTTAAGTCTCTAGCCAATGCTTGCAATCTAGAGATCCTACCCCTTCAAGCTACCCACTTCTTTCCTAACTATAACCCTTCCTTGCTTGATTTGATTTTAGTCTCATCACCTGACCATGTTGCCAAACACGGCCAATATCCTGCAGATGCATTCTCGTTCCATAACCTCATTTATTTGTCATATAAAATTCGTCCTCCCAAAGTTAAACGGAAAATCGTTATGCAGCGCAATTTTAGTGGTATTGACATTGACCGATTACGACAAGATGCTGCGGAATGTGATTGGTTGAGTATTGGCACAGCAGCTAACATTAATGAGCAAGTGGAATTTTTGGTCATGGGATGTCCTCTCTATTAATCTGTCCGATTATGGAGTAAGGGCATACGGGTACGCAACCCCGGCCTCCATAGCTACTACAGTTACAAAACCTTTGTCCTCTCCGTAGCTGTAGTATCCCCCATTTTTCCTATAGTTCCTTTCCACTTATCACCTCCTTTCCTTATAACCTATTCCTTTCCCAATGTAACCTATTTCCTTTTCCTATCCGATGTTAAGAAGAGCAGTTCTTTTTCAAAATGATAAGAGAAATTAAAACGCAACTACCCCAGGAGGGTACCGGCACTGCCGGAGAATCCGTCCCTGAGTGCAACTCAGGCAGTCCCATCGTATCTGGGGGGGACAAATTTCTCATCGACGGCGATGCGTTATGCCACGGGTCACGTCATGTCTCCCCTGTTTCCCCAAATGGCAAAAAGAGGGCAAAGGAATGCCAAATTGCAACGATGAATGTTTGTGGAGGTATGGATAGTAAAATAGACGAAGTATGTGAGATGATGAGTGAAAGAAGAATTGATGTATTAGGAGTAAGTGAAACAAAAAAGAAAGGCTGCTCTATTACTACTTATGACCGATATACTGGGTACTGGTCCGGAGTTAATGACTCTGAAAGAAGCAGCCAAGGAGTGGGAGTTATTTTGTCAGAGAGAATGAATGCATCTGTTAAAGAATTTGAATTTGTAAGTCCTAGACTCCTCTGGATACGACTGAAAGTTGGTTTGACCCGTATTTTTCTCCTTTGCGCTTATGCCCCGGATATGTCCAAGCCACCAAAGGTCAGAGAGGATTTCTGGGATAGTGTAAGAGAGATTATGACTAAATGTAAGGAGAATGAAAGAATTATTTTGATAAGTGATTTTAATGGCTGGGTGGGAATCCGTCGCGATGGATATGAAAGGAATTTAGGAATGTTTGGAGATAAAAGAGTGAATGAAAATGGTGAAAGTTTATTAGAAGTATGCCTGGAGAGAAATCTGGTGGTGACTAATACTTTGTTTAGTCACAAACTGATTCATATGTATACATGGCAAAGGCAAACTGAGAGAAGTATGATTGATTTTGTAATTGTGGATGAACGATTGAGAGCGAAAGTGAAGGATACAAGAGTCTATCGTGGTACGAATGTCGGAACCGATCACTTTTTGGTAATATCGAGAATAGGTGGCTTATTCAATAAATGGCGACATCGTCCACGTGTTCGTATGTCAGAAATAGAAAGAGTAAGAGTAGAGAGACTGACAGAAGAACAGGTTCGAAATCAGTATCAAGAAAGATTGAATGAAAGATTTAGAGAGCTACTGAAGAAAGATAACTATGAGATAGAAGAATTTTGGAAGGAATTTAAATGCGGAATCTTTGATATAGCTACTCAAGTTTGTGGTGTAAGTAAGAGGAAGGATGTTAAGATGAGAATGAATGTATGGTGGGATGGCGAAGTGAAAGAAATGGTGGCTCTAAAGAAAAAGGCATGGATGGATTTGTTAGCTACCAGAGCTAATAAGAGAATGCAAGGTAATGTAAGTGACATTGAAAAAATTGCAAAAGAGAAGTATGATGTAATGAAAAAGAAAGTTAAAGAATTAGTAAGCAAAAAGAAAGAGGAATGTAAGGATGAGTATGAAAGGAAATTCTCTAGAAATTTTCGAGCTAATCAAAAGCTTTTCTGGCATTTAGTTCGAACAGCTAGAGGTAAAAAGAGAGATCCGAAAATGGGCGTGATAAGGGATATGGATGGTAATGTTATCACGGAACAAAAGGAAGTCTTAGATCATTGGAAGAGATATTTTGAAAGTTTATTTGAACGTGGAAGTGAAAGAAAGAATGTTGAAAATGAAATAATGGACGAAGAAGTTGACAGTGAAAGTGATATAAGTATGGATGAAGTAATGAATGCAATGAAGATTATGAAATTTGGTAAAGCAGCGGGATTCGATAGAATATCTGCCGAAATGCTTAAAGAAGGTGGAGAAATCATTGTAAACCTGCTGTGTCTGCTGTTCAATAAATGTTGGCGGTCCGGTTGTGTTCCAGGTGACTGGAGCAAAGCTGTTATTGTGCCACTATATAAAGGCAGCGGGTCACAGCAGGAGTGCAAAAATTTCCGCGGAATAAGCCTTCTTAGTGTTGTAGGCAAATTGTATGCTAGGATTTTGATTAAAAGAGTGATGAATGAGACGGAAAGTAAAATTTGGGATGTGCAAGCAGGGTTTCGAAAGGGTATGGGATGTACGGATCAAGTCTTTTCCTTAAGGTGCATAACAGAGAAAACCTTAGCTCAACATCAGAAGGTTTTCTGCGCCTTCATTGACCTTGAAAAGGCTTATGATAGAGTGGAGAGGAATGAACTGTGGTCAACACTGGCAATGTATGGGGTGAGCAGCCATTTGATACGGGCTTTGAAATCTTTATATAAGGATTCAAATGCCTGTGTCAGAATAAATGGAGTCTATACAGACTGGTTTGGCATTGAACGCGGTGTTAGACAGGGCTGTGTAGCGTCTCCTTGGCTGTTCAACCTATTTATGGACAGTTGCTTGACCGATTTGAAAGGATCTAATTGTGGATTCAGGATGAATGAGTCTCTGTTTAAGACTCTTTTATACGCCGACGACCAAGTACTTTTTGCATCGTCGGAGTATGAATTACAACAAATGGTGACTATAATGAATGAAGCGTATGCAAGAAAAAGTATGAAAATAAATGCGAAGAAGACGAAGGTAATGGTTTTTGAGAGGAATGAAAGTTTAACGGCATGCCAGATTATGATAGGAGATGAAAAAGTAGAGCAAGTGAGTGAGTTTCTATATTTAGGTTCTTTGTTTACGAGGGATGGGAAGTGTGACAGAGATATTGAGAGGAGAGTAAAAGCGGGAAACAGTGTTAACGGTGCACTGCTCTCGATTATGTCAAGTAAAAATGTATCGAGCAAAGCTCGCCTTGCTATAATTCAAGGAGTACTGACACCAACACTCATGTATGGAAGCGAATCGTGGGTATGGCAGAAGAAGCATGAAAGTAAGATAAATGCTGTACAGATGAGAGCTTTGAGAAGTATGTGTGGTATTACTTTAAAAGATAGAGTAAGAAACAGTGTGATTAGAGAGAAGTGTGAACTGAAAGACGATGTAGTGACAAAAATTGAAAAAGGAATGTTGCGTTGGTTTGGTCATTTGGAGAGGATGGATGAAAGAAGAATTACGAAAGAGATTTATCGAGCAAGAATGAATGGAGATGTCGGTAGGGGCCGCCCTAGACGGACGTATGTCGACCAAATAGGCGACGTGCTGAAGAAGGGCCAAATTAAAAGTACCCGTAACCGACGAGCGTGTATGGCAAGATTGATGAATGTGGAAGAAGCGAAAGAGGTTTGTTTGAATCGAAGCATTTGGCGTTCCATTGTTTCTGCCTACCCTAATGGGAGACAGGCGTGACAGATATGTATGTATGGAATTATTTAATAAATTGATTTTAGAACTGTATGATAAACATGCTCCGATACGGCCAGTCAGGGTTAAGCATTTACCTGCACCTTGGCTTACAGATAAAATCAAGTCCATAATACAGAAGAAAAATATTGCTAAAGCTAAATTTAAGTCGGCTCCAGACAGATACCGTGATGATTACATCAGTGCTAGGAATCTCTGCAATAGGATGTGTAGGGAGGCTCAACGACGCCACATCCATAAATCTGTAGAGAATGGTGATCCAGCAAAAGTTTGGAAATTTCTCAGGTCATTAGGGGTTGGTAAAAATCGTAACGATAATCCCGTTAATCTTGATATTGAAAATCTTAATAATCATTTCTGTCCTTCTTCTGTCATAGATAGTAATGAAAAATCTAAGACATTGAATTATCTTTCATCCACGTCTACCCCTGATTGTACTCCTTTTATCTTTGATCAATTGACCGATTGTGATGTTGAGAGGAGTTTGCTTTCTATATCATCAAATGCCGTTGGCACCGATAGCATTAGTCGTAATATGATCTTACCTATCCTTGATATCCTTTTACCTACCATCACCTTACTTTTCAACAATTCCCTATCCTCTGGTATCTTTCCCTCAGTATGGAAAACAGCATTCATCATTCCTTTACCTAAAATAAAAATTCCTTCCTCGTTCTCAGATTATCGTCCGATTTCCATACTTCCCTTTCTATCCAAAGCCCTAGAACGCCTTGTCCAACTAAAATTTAACTCTTACTTAACTAGAAATAATCTTTTAAATCCTTTTCA